AATTATATAAACCAAAATATTCCTAAAACTTCAGGGAATTCATGATGAAATCTTTAAAAAAAATAGTTACTTGGCTATTTCCCAAGTTTCTAGTAAATGAAAAGCTTTTTCTTTTGAAAATCTTTAAGGTAACATATTACATACAACGTGGCTTTAAAACACAAATGTTCTTTAGCAGATGCTATGCTGGTTCTTGGCAGTACAAAATCTAAGAGATTCAGGAATCTTTTAAATTTCTTGAAGAAAAATCAGGCCTCTCTCAACGTCTTTTAGCCATAATTTCACAAAAAACACTCAGATAAGTTAGAATGAATACCTGGTGCCTTTGTAACTGAACTAACCCGCATAAGAATGATGACCACCTGAGAAGTCACATGAAAAATACTTTCTCATGTTATGAACCCTCTAACGAACAGTCCCTGAGCTTCTGTCACAGAAGTGACACAGCTGCAAGAGGGAAGAGAACGTCCCAGATAAGGCCGATGCCATCTGGGCCTCTCTTGTCCAATGCCCGAGCTTCCCCAGTCCGCGGGTGAAAACGCGGCTGGAAATGCAGGGGAAATGGCTGTTTCCCAGGAAAGGAAATTGCCTGAAAACACATCTGGCGAAGGGCTCTTTCTCCTCGCCTGGCAGGCAGATGCTTACTCTAACAAAATACGCACTTCCTCACCTTCTACAAAGGTGGGTCCTGTGGGGCTGATGCCCCTCTCTAAGCGGATGACATGTCGTTTGTTCCCTAAATATGCTGTGTCTCAAATGCTCTATATACTTAATTACAACTAGGTCAGGAAATTGTGCTAAAGGTGGCATCCTCCTTCATTCCAGAAACTGTTTTATATTCTAAAACGCACACCACACTCTCCTAGCTGGCTACGTCGGGGGACATTAGAGGCGAAGAAAGGAGAAAAAAGTGGTTAAAGCCAGAAAACTGGAACTGGAGCCAGGATGCTCATCCCATGCAGCGAGGTGACCGGCTGGGTCCCCGGGGTCTCTCCTAAGCTGGTGAGTGCATCTGGGAGAGGGCCTGGCCCACCCTCAGGTGACACAGGTCCAGGACAGTGAAGCAGGCGCAGGGCGGGCTCCTGGTGACCTGGCTGCTCCCGGCCACAATAAGCCTTGGCTCAGTAAACTGGATTCTGTCGCTGGGGGTGTCTGGGCGTTTGCGCTGCACAGAGGTGACAGCCGATATGAAATGGCCATTCTCGATCCCCTCCAAAGAATGCTGAGTTTGGCCATGTTAAAACCAGGGTTAAAATTACTGCTTTAAATTCATCGCTGTGAACGTAAAAGGCAAAGAAACGCACCTGGCTGGCGGGATTCCTGCCACCTCCTCACGGAGCCCGATCCCATATCCCCTCAGAGGGGCGAGGTTTACTTCTGGGGTGTAGGGGTGTGTGTGTGTGTGTGTGTGTGTGTGTGTGCGCGCGCGCGCGCACGCCCGCTCGCTTGCACGTTTGTGTGTCCATGCATGCATTCCCGTGTTAAGTATCAAGGAGGCAGAGGCCAATAAGACTTGGTTTCCACCATCTCAACCTCTCCTTCTTTGCCTTCCTCCCTTTGCTCTGCGACTCACTATTTTTCCATCTTCCCTTCTCTCCCTTCTTTCCCCACCTGTCCGCTTCCCTCCTCTTTTCCTTTCACTGGCCGTATTCACACATATATTATAAAAATTTTGTATTTTCTTTATTATTTGTGATGTTAATTGAGTTTATTTATGCTACTTTTTTACATCCCAACTTGAAAAATGGTCTGAGATATTTCACCCAAGAACATGCCACAGAATAATATAAATAGCTGAAGAAATTGGAAGGGAGGGAATAAATAAAGAGAAACAAAGTCAAATTGAATTAGGAGACAAATATAATACCGCCACCCCAGCTTCACTTCTCGGGGTGCTGCTCCACCAACAACACGGCACTTTCCAAAACTCAAGGCCACGCTGGCCGAAGGAGTCCGCCCCCGTCAGCACCCCCGAAGCCCGCAGTCACTGGTGACATGAGGAAAGCTCACAGACGGTGCCAGGTGACAGTGAGCAGAGCAGGCGTGAGACTGAGTCCAGAGGATCTGCCCGGTTACGATGGAGAGAGACTCCCGCCCAAAACACGCGACCAATTCGGGAGGCCGCGGGGATCCCGCGTGCGAGCTCCTTCCGCGTGCTCTGCAGAGCCCGCGTCCGCCACGCACTCAAGGGGGCGCTAGTGGTTCAGGCATCATGCCCTCTCCCCCTGGGCCAGGCGACCCCACTTCCATCCCTTGATGTGCCACGCACTCAAGGGGGCGCTAGTGGTTCAGGCATCATGCCCTCTCCCCCTGGGCCAGGCGACCCCACTTCCATCCCTTGATGTGCCCCGACAGCGCAAGTATCCAGCTAAGCACTGATACTAAACTGTCTCACTGGACACAGCAGACGTCATTGGATCTACTCGAAAATTCCGTTCGGCCGTCCGGGGCTTGGGGGCTGCCCAGCGCGGTGCTGGTCTAAAGCTGGCATCTTCCTACAGAGGTGACCTCCTGAGAGCCGCACAGATTGCTCTGGGTGGCCAGGGCCGCGAGGGGGGTTGGGGTCCACAACCTGGGGAGAAGGGGCTCAGGGTCTACGTGGGCCGACGGTCCTGGGGGCGCAGGGGTGGCCTGCGGCCTTGCCTGCCTGCCAGAGCTCGCGCAGCAGGGCACGCGGAGGCCTCGGGGCCTTGGTCACTGTTCTCTGTGACGCTGACCTTCTCTCAGGGGAGCATGGTGCCATCAAACAGGATTTGCCTCTTTACGGCAAAATGTAAGAAGACCTGGAGGCAGCTCTACAGAGACCAGACGGGAGCGTCTGAAACTTCAGCTGATGACACACAGTACAGGGAGAAAACACGGCATTAGGAAAATAAATAGCACCACACACAGCTGTTCGGCAGAACCATCAGGCGAAAAACTGGCCGGGCAGGAGGCAGCCTGGGGGCCTGGGGGCGGGCTGGGATAGCATTTCCCATATTTGAGCTTTGGCTGCCTTGAGCTGTGCTGTCAGCAGGTCAGTGAGGAAAACTCGAGATTCCCTTTGAAAAGGGCTGGTTCTGAGAACGGCAGCCAGGCCTCACTGGGAGAGCGGGGGTGGATGCTGTCCCACACGCGGGGTCCCCAGCAGGCTCCTGACGAGCTTCCAGGCGGGTCTGCAGCAAGGGCTCCGGGGCTGCTGGCCGGCCCTTTGGTCCCAGCCTGTGGCCCCCACCCAGAGCTGCCTCCTCCAGGGGCTCCCTGCGTTTCCTCGGTGACCGATCACGCGCTCAGTGGGCGGCTCTGCCACCGTGTCACCTGCGGCTGGCCCTGCACAGTGTGGCAGGCCCTTCCCACTGCGGACAGTCTTCCCGGCACTTCCTCCCTGCCTCGCAGTTAAGGCCCAGCTTCGAAGCGGCACTTTCTCCTCGGGCGAATGCTCCTGCCCCTTCACTAGCCCCCTTCCCAGCCTGTCCCATGCGTCTCGGGCCCCGGCAGAGGCGTGGAGAGTGCCCCTTTCACACCGTGTGCTGGGAGTGGCCTCACGACCACGCCACACCCCCCGGGGGCTCCCCTGGGAGTCAGTGGACCACGGCCCATGGTTCTGAATGGCCAGTGAGCCGAGAACGGTTTTTACATTTTTAAATGGTTGAAAAAAATCCAGAAAAGACTATTTCACGACATGTGAAAATTACAAGAAATTCAAATTTCAGTGTCCACGTGGCCCGGCAAAACCTAAAACGTTCACTGTTTGACCCTTTATAGAAAAAGTGTGCCGATCCCTGGTCTACCTAGGGCTTCCCCCGACCCAGTAGTAATTTCCATTTAGGAAGCTACAGAGAGCTGCCGGGGTCCTGCTGACCTCCTGGGGACCGAGAGAGAGAGCCTCCCCCTCCCCGCCAGCTGCCTGGAGGACCAGCGCCCGGGACGAGCTGTCTTCCCTTCTACCGCTCACAGTTCCTCCTCCGTCACCTCCTGGTCGTCCATGGCTCCGTGGCCCTCACTCCGTGTGCTTCGTGAGCTGGGAAGCCCCACCCGACTTATTGAGCTCCATCCCCAGGGTCCCGCAGCGTCCGATACGAAATGGGAGGAGGAGACTGCAGGTAAATGGGTTTCGAAACCACAGACGCAATAGTAATTCCGTGTCCCACGCCTTCTCCACTGGCAAACAAACTTAGAGGGAAAAGGTGCATCCGCGTTTCCACCTCACATTCCGAGGATCACCTGGTGGAGGAAACGACCTCCCTTGAACCGGAAGCGCCAGTGACGAAGGGACGCGACCTCTCCTAAACTGCACGTGCCATTCTGTATCATCCGAATCCCAAAGGCGCCACAAAGAATCATCCACACGCGGGGAAGCTGAGGCTTGCAGAAGTTAAGCATTTGCTTCCAGTCTCACTGAACCGGGGTTGCAAGTCTTATGTTCAAAGCCTACACGCCTTCTCCAGTCAGAGTGGGGGTGTTCTCCTTAACCCCCGAGAAGAAAGCACGCTGGGCTCCAACAGCCTGCCTTGCCCCGTGAGTCCCCGGAGCCCCGTCCGGCCTCCCTACGCGACAGAGCCCCGCGGGAGTGTGGCGAAGGCACGAGCCCTCTCGGACAGTGACTCGGGCTGCTTTATTCGGACATCGAATGACAGGACCTGTCCAGGGATGAGCCGGGCAGCAATGCAGTGCTGAGTGCAAGCGATACCGTCAGCTACCGTAATAAAAACATGGACGATGTCTACCCACGGGAGCCACGGGGAGAGGCCACTGCTGTTTGTGGCCTGTTCTCAGTTTAAGGAAAGGCGATAATATGTTACTTAGAACTTGGTGAAAAATAGGGACTTTTCCCCCATCCAAGTCCCTGGCCGCAGGTGTGAGTCTACCTAAGGCCACCTGGGAGCCAGCCTGTGCAGAGGGAGGTGCGTCCACGTCCCGGAAGCCTCTGGAAAACACAGTCCAGAAGAACAGCAGTCTCTTTGCGAAGTCCGCACCCATCTGTGCTCCCGTGGCGACGTGAGACACGCCCAAACCTGCAGAGGATTTTACGAGTTTATTTCAGCGAGACTGATGACAACTGGCCGGAAGCAAAATCTCAACGGACTGAGAAAATGGTCCGAGAATGGCCGTTTTGCAGCTCATTTTATACATCAGAATCAGAGGAGACACAGGATGGTCACGTGACATCACTGGGGTGGACGGAGGGGGCTGGAGAAGGCAAAGCAGAGACACACCCTTTCGCAGCTGTGGGGTAGTTAGTAATTAACACTGACAGAGGCAGAGTCTGGGGAGCAAGAAGAGCGGGTCCTGTGCGCCAGTGCAGCGGTTGTGCCTTCGAGGGGTGTGGAAAAGAAAATTACTCTGACATTTCACAGGCATGTTATCTTGGATGCTCGGAGGCGATGGCCGATTTCGAAGGTAAAGACTGACCTTTGTCAGGGAAGCTACCGGGTGAGGACGGGACTGCTCACCACGACCCGCCTGTGGTTAGGAACTATCACGTTCAGACCACCCTGTGCGGTGACTTCCCATCTCTGCGTTTGGAGGGCCCGCCGTGCAGCGCCCCTGGCCCCCGGGAGCTGGGCGGGGTTAGCTTGCGGCCCCCTTCTCGTCTACACCTGGAAGCTGACCTTGCACGGTGCAGACTGGCCCCGGCTTTCGCGGGCAGAGGTGGTCCATCGGGTCGCCGCGCCAGCCCTGTCCCCGCCGAGTGGGAAGAACACGCCTGTGAGCCGGGGAGCCACAGTCCTCCCAGCGTGCACCCTGGCTGCGGGGCTGGCAGACGGTTCGCCCCTAGGTGTCAGTGTCATTATCAAGGAAGTAACGAGGGACGGTCACGGAGCCCAGAGCCGAGACCGAGACCCCCGGGGTTAACCGGTCCCCGACGCTTACAGACAAGGATGTCAGCGGTCGGTGAAAAGGAGGTGAGGTGCTCGGGCTCACCGAGCGGGACGGATGTAACTGATCCTGGAAAGTGTCACAACATGGTGGGATTTGGGCAAATCCAGGCCTAATACGAGAGAACTTCACACGCCCCCTCTCTCTCAACATCCTGTCATGGAAGTTCCGTTTCTCCATCGGCCGCCACTTAACAGACCATTCGCCAGCCTAGTCTATTTTAGGGTTATTTTGAATACTGCAGCGGATATTTTGTTTAAAAGATCAGACGTCGGAGCTCAGAAACTGACCTTCGTAACCTGATCTGATAAATCCAGATCTTCCCATCACGCTGTTTCGAATGAAAACTCTGTCTTCTTAACTAACCGTTCAAAATCAAGGAATACCAACGAGGCGCTCCCCCACGGCCGGGCCAAGCGTGCACAGGAGCGCGACTTCTTCCTCTGTGTTCGCAGTGACAAAAATAAACCAAAGTCCTGACATATTTGCAGTATTTTGATTCCTAAGGGAAAAAACAGGAACCTTCATTGTGCTTCAAAGCTATTACCTCAGATACTTAACCAGCCCAGCGCTGTGAATCAGTCTCAGACACAAGAGACCCACTGCTCTCTCGAGGAAATCCTCAATTAGGGCGGTGCCTCGGAAAAGCCCAGGGGTCCTGTGACCACGGGCGTCCCAGAGGGTTTCTGCAGCACTCGGCCCTGGCTGCGAGGCGAGCATCGGGCTGGGGTTTTTCCTGCTGCCTGGCCGCTGACCCCCCAACAGGAAGATAACGGACAAGCCAGGAGGGCGGAGCAGCCCACTCCACATGTCTGGCTGCTCTTATCAACTTATCATATAAGGAGAGGAGAGTGATTGATTCGGATCCCGACACGGCAGAATCGGGGGCAGAGAAACAAAGAAACGCGAGCACGGATCTGTGCCGTGCACACCGCCCTCCCGGCGAGCAGGGCGACGCTCCCTGCCGCTTTCTGACAGTTCCCTGCAGCACGGACAGAGGACAGCACCAAACGCCAGGTCTGCTGCTCGGACAGGCGGGGAGAGGAGACGTCCACAGATGGACCTTAAGCCGCGGCGGCAGAGCTGAGGGTGGCTGAGGACCCGGTTCCCACGTGCCTCGGCGTCTGCTAAGCTGGTGGTCTGTTACCGAACGCGAGAAAGAATGTGGCAGATTGTTTTCTTTGCTCTGAGCTGTGATCTCGTCCTGGCCGCAGCCTACAGCAACTTTCGGAAAAGCATGGACAGCATAGGGAAGAGGCAGTATCAAGTCCAGCACGGCTCCTGCAGCTACACTTTCCTGCTGCCAGAGACGGACAACTGCCGCTCGCCCGCCAGCTCCTACGTGTCCAACGCTGTGCAGAGGGACGCGCCACTGGATTACGATGACTCTGTGCAGAGGCTGCAAGTGCTGGAGAACATGATGGAAAACAACACGCAGTGGCTGATGAAGGTAGGGAAACCCGTTCTGACTTGGTGTCCTGTCGGGGCTGCTAAGATT